GGAGCCCCGGCCCCCCCCAAGTTGCCGGACCCCGCGCCTCTGAGATTGATGGTTCCCCCCCCCCGCGTGGGGCGGGGCCTAGGGAATTGGGCGTGGCCACCGGTAAAGGGGCGGGGCCTAGGGAATTGGGCGTGGCCACCGGTAAAGGGGCGGGGCCCCGGCTCACCCCGCTCCTTGCGCTGCTCGAAGCCCAGCCCCGGGTCGAAGCTCGGCATCCGGAGCGGGTCCGGCTCCACGTCCTCGCCGCCCAGGTAGCGCCGGGCCAGGTGCGCCCCCATCTCCGCCTCGGTCACCTCGGGGCCGCCCCGCCCCGGAAGCGCTTCCCCCACGCCCGGAACCGGATATGCAGGGCTCTTCCACCCGCCCTCATAACATAGAGATCACGAGACTTCCGGTTTCTTTTCCCGCCCCTTCCCGCGGGAGCCTCCCTCCTGCGCGTGGCTCCTCGTTCCCCGCCCCGAAGAGTGAGGTCACGTTCCGCAACGAGCTCGGCCAATCCCCACCCTTCCGATGGGGAAATTTGCATGTCCCTACCCTATTGGCTGATGCAGCTCCGGGGGTAGACCAGGGTCTCCTGGTGGCAAAATAACTCGCAGGGCTCCGCAAAATAAGACCTTGGGTGCTACCGTAATACACCTAATCAATAGCCTGCAGCACCAAGCACAGCAGGGCCCTAGAGACTACCGTAATACACCTAATAAACTGCAGCACCTAGCACAGCAGGGCCCTAGACACTACCGTAAAACACCTAATCAATAACCTGCAGCACCTAGCACAGCAGGGCCCTAGACAGTACCGTAAAACACCTAATCAATAACATGCAGGGCCTAGCACATCAGGGCCCTGGGTGCTACCATAATCCACTTAAGAAATTTCATCTTGTCCCACCCCCCATTGACTGGGTACACATCATCTCAGCACTGGATGCAGAGACAAAAGTTTATCGACACCTTAAATCACTGCTTCCTGGAGTAGCTAGTCGTGGAATCCACACGAAGAGAGGCAATTTTTTATTTAGTCCTAAATTGGGCACAGGATCTGGTTCTGTGAATATAGGTGAATATAGTTGAATTACTGGTAATAGTGACTATAACATAATACAATTTAACAGCCCTGTAGAGAGGAAAATACCACTGCACCCCAACACTGTAGCATTTAATTTCAGAATGGGGAACTACACAAAAATGAGGAAGTTAGTTAAACAGAACTTGAAAGGTACATTTCTAAAAGTAAAATAGAAACAAAAAACAAAACGAAAAAATAGCAAGAGAACAAAAAACAAAACAAAACACAACAAAAAGCCACTGTGACTAAACAACAAAGAAAAAAAACCTGTTGGAGACAAAAAGGCAGCATTTAAAAAGTAGAAGTTAAAGAACTATTGAGGAAAATAGAAAGGAGCATAAATTCTTGCAAGTGATATGCCATTGACATGTTTTGTTAATCTTTAAAGTGCTACCAGACTATCTGTTGTTTTTTAAGTTTTTCCTGTTACAGACTAACTCAGCTACCCCTCTGAAACTTGTAAAAATATAACGAGGAAGGCCAAAAAATAATTTGAAGAACAGCTAGCCAAAAATTTAAAAAATAACCACAAACTTTTTTAAAGTACATCAGAAGCAGAAAGTCTGCTGACAACCAGTGGGGCCCCTGGATGCTTGAGGTGCTTAAGGAGCACTCCGGAATGATATGGTCATTGCAGAGAAACTAAATGAATTCTTTGCATCCATCTTCACAGCTGAGAATGTTAGAGAGATTCCCAAACTTGAGCCATTCTTCTTAGGTGACAAATCTGAGGGACTGTCCCAGAGGGAGGTGTGATTAGAGGAACAAATTGATAAATCAAACAGTTATCACTAGGGCTAAATAGCGTTCACCCAAGAGTTCTGAAGTTCTGTGAAATTGCAGAACTAATAACTGTGGTTTCTGGCGGTGAAAGTAACCTACAATTTCTTACATGTACCGTCCCATTTGTAACCTAAGTCCCCGCCAGCTCTTTAAATAGCTCCCTGCTGGCTTTTGCCGGAGCTGTGCACCAGGGCACATCCACTTATTTGCACTGCTGGTGGTTTGTAACCTATCGTTTTAAGCAGCTTCTGTACCATATGACTGGATTACAGCTGCTGTAACACCAACTTTTTAAAAAAAGGCTCCTGAGGTGATCCCAGCAATTATAGGCCAGAAGCCTAATTTTAGTACTGGGGTAATTGGTAGAAACTGTAGTAAAGAGCAGAATTAATACAAACACACAGATAAACACTATTTGTCAGGGAATAGTCAACATGGTTTCTCTAAAGGGAAATCATGCTTCCTCAATCTATTAGAATTGTTGCGGGAGTCTACAAGCATGTGGACAAGGGGGATCCAGTGGACAGACTGTACTTGGATTTCCAGAAAGCCTTTAACAAGGTCCCTCACCAAAGTCTCTTAAGCAAAGTGAGCTGCCATGGGATAAGAGGGAAGATCCTTTCATGAATTGGTAAATGAAATGATGGGTGGGAATAGGTGATCAGTCCTCAGAATGGAGAGAGGTGAACAGTGGGTATTCCCCAAGGGTCTGCACTGGGAGCAGTACTATTCAATATATTCATAAATAATCTGGAAAAAAAGGAGTAAATGCTGAGGTAACAAAAATTGTTGATGATACAAAACTACCTAAGATACCCTGTCAAATCCTAGTGAGGAAAACAGAAAGAAATATAAACATTGCCAAATTAAGGGTAAAAATGTAACAAGAAAAGCCAAAAAGGAGTTTGAAGAACAGCTGGTCAAAAACTGAAAAGGTAATAACAAAATGTTTTTTAAGTACATCAGAAGCAGGAAGCCGGCTAAACAGCCAGTGGGGCCCCTGGCCGATCGAGATATAAAAGGAGCACTTAAAAGACGATAAAGTCATTGTGGAGAAGCTAAATGAATTCTTTGCTTCAGTCTTCACGGCTGAGGCTGTTAGGGAGATTCCCAAACCTGAGCCGTCCTTTGTAGGTGACAAATCTAAGGAATTGTCACAGATTGAAAGGTCATTAGAGGAGGTTTTGGAATTAATTGATAAACTTAATAGTAACAAGTCACCAGGACCAGATGGCATTCACCCAAGAGTTCTGAAAGAACTCAAATATGAAATTGCAGAACGATTAACTATGGTTTGTAACCTATCCTTTAAATCAGCTTCTGTACCCAGTGATTGGAAGATAGCTAATGTAACACCAATATTTAAAAAGAGCTCTAGAGACAATCCCTGTAGTTACAGACTGGTAAGTCTAACGTCAGTACCGGGCAAATTAGTTGAAACAATAGTAAAGAATAAAATTGTCAGACACGTAGAAGAACATAATTTGATGGGCAAAAGTCAACATGGTTTCTGTAAAGGGAAATCATGTCTTACTAATATATTACAGTTCTTTGAAGGGGTCAACAAACATGTGGACAAGGGGGATCCAGTAGATATAGTGTACTTAGATTTCCAGAAAGCTTTTGACAAGGTTCCTCACCAAAGGCTCTTACGTAAATTAAGTTGTCTTATATAATAAGAGTGAAGGTCCTTTCATGGATTAAGAACTGGTTAAAAGACAGGAAACAAAGGGTAGGAATAAATGATACATTTTCAGAATGGAGTGGGGTAACTAGTGGTGTTCCCCAAGGGTCAGTCCTAGGACTAATCCTATTCAACTTATTCATAAATGATCTGGAGAAAGGGGTAAACAATGAAGTGGCAAAGTTTGCAGACAAACTAAACTGCTCAAGGTAGTTAAGATCAAAGCAGACTGTGAAGAACTTCAAAAAGATCTCCCCAAACGAAGTGATTGGGCAACAAAATGGCAAATGAAATTTAATGTGATTAATGTAAATAAATGCACATTGGAAAACATGGTAACTAGTGGTGTTCCCCAAGGGTCAGTCCTAGGACTAATCCTATTCAACTTATTCATAAATGATCTGGAGAAAGGGGTAAACAATGAAGTGGCAAAGTTTGCAGACAAACTAAACTGCTCAAGGTAGTTAAGATCAAAGCAGACTGTGAAGAACTTCAAAAAGATCTCCCCAAACGAAGTGATTGGGCAACAAAATGGCAAATGAAATTTAATGTGATTAATGTAAATAAATGCACATTGGAAAACATGACCCCAACTGTACATACAATATGATGGGGACTGATCTAGCTACAACTAATCAGGAAAGAGATTTTGGAGTCATTGTGGATAGTTCTCTGAAGACATCCATTCAGTGTGCAGCGGCAGTCAAAAAAGCAAACAGGATATTAGGAATCATTAAAAAATGTGATAGAGAATAAGACAGAGAATATCTTATTGCCCTTATATAAATCCATGTGACACCCACATCTTGAATATTGCAGATAGATGCAGTCTCCTCATCTAAAAAAAATAGTTTAGCATTAAAAAAGGTTCAAAGAAGGGCAGCTAAAATGATTAGGGGTTTGGAACGGGTCGCATCTGAGGAGAGATTAAAGATACTGGGACTTTTCAGCTTGGAAAAGAGGAGACCGAGGGGGGATATGATAGAAGTCTATAAAATCATGAGTGGTGTGGAAAAGTGATTAAGGAAAAGTTATTTACTTGTTCCCATAATATAAGAACTAGGGGCCACCAAATGAAATTAATGGGCAGCAGGTTTAAAACAAATAAAAGGAAGTTCTTCTTCACATAGTGCACAGTCAACCTGTGGAACTCCTTGCCTGAGTGCTATTAGCCAGGATGGGTAAGGAATGGCGTCCCTGGCCTCTGTTTGTCAGAGGGTGGAGATGGATGGCAGGAGAGAGATCACTTGATCATTTCCTGTTTGATTCACTTCCTCTGGGGCACCTGGCATTGGCCACTGTCGGCAGACAGGATCCTGGGCTGGATAGACCTTTGGTCTGACCCAGTCTGGCCGTTCTTATGACCTTATGTTCAGAAGAACCTGTCTTGTCTCAAGGACTCTCCTTCTGCCTATGATTCAGTTCTGTGGAGATCTGGAATCCTATTTTCACCGCCTCCACCTGAAGGAATACTTCCAGCACACCAATGTATGACACACTGACCTGGCTGCTCCCCCGTGCTGATCCCACAAGAGGAAAGCTTCTATGTGGACACCCACAAACAGTCGTAACGAGAGTCTTGATTTCTACATTGACTGCTTCCGCAAACGTGCTTGAGCTGACATTGTCAGCAAACAACACCATATAACATACGACCTCAGCCATGCAGAACACAAGCCTCAAAAACAATCCTCACATCATAATCAAAGAAGCTGACAAAGGGGGCGCTGTTGTCATCACGAACAGGACAGACTATGAACAGGAGGCAACCAGACAACTCACCAGTACCAGATTCTACAAGCCTCTCTCCTGTGATCTCAC